TGTCGACGCCAAGTAAACTTCTGAGTCGCATCATCCTGGAAAGAATAAAGAACGCACTGGATACAGAACTCCGACCAGAACAAGCTGGATTCAGGAAAGGCAAATCATGTTCTGACCAAATTGCAACTCTACGCATTATCATCGAACAAAGCATGGAATGGCAATCAAATCTCTACCTCAACTTCATAGACTTTGAGAAGGCCTTCGACAGCGTTGACCGCGAAGTAATTTGGAAACTACTCGAGTACTACGGCGTACCGCAAATATTCATCAACCTTATTCATTAGCTGTACGACAACGGCACATCTCAAGTGATCCACAACGGAAAACTCAGCGAAGCGTTTGGAGTAAACACAGGAGTCAGACAAGGGTGCTTATTATCACCAATGATATTCCTAATTGTGGTGGACTGGATTATGCGTCAGACAGTGGGAAACGAGAAGACAGGGATATCCTGGACCGACGTGAAGAACCTAGAAGACCTGAATTTCGCAGATGATTTATGTTTGATGTCACACAAAATCGAAGACTTACAAGCAAAAACCGACAAACTGGTCGAAGAAGCAGCAAAGACAGGACTCCAGGTGAACATAGACAAGACGGAGGTTATGAAAATAACCAACCAACAACAGCAGCAACATCCAGTGCCAATCACCATCAACGGAGGGGATTTGAAAGAGGTCACTTCTTTCACTTATCTAGGGAGCATTGTCTCAACTACGCTACAGGAGGAACGGACGAGGATGTCAAATCGAGAATCGGGAAGGCGAGAAACACATTCATCAACCTGAAACCAATCTGGAAATCTTCGTCACTCACCACCAACAACAAAATTCGGATTTTCAATACAAACGTCAAGTCAATTTTGCTTTACGGATCAGAAACTTGGCGGGTCACCAAGAATATTTTCAACAGGTTGCAGACCTTTATCAACAACTGTCTTCGCTCCATACTGAAGATTAGATTGCCAGAAAGAATCACAAACAAGAAGCTATGGGAACAAACGAAACAGGAACCAATCGCCCAACAAATGCGTCGGTGGCACAGTGGTTAGGACTCTCGCCGACCATGCACATGGTCCGGGGTTCGAACCCCTGCCGGCGCACACCCGATATCTATGGTATGCCTGAATTTGGGCAACCGGTATCCATGCTGAAAGTTCCACACTTGTACTGAAAATACCGTGTGGAAATCAAGCTGTAAATCAAAAAAAAAAAAAAAAAAAATATGCAGGAGGAAGTGGAGATGGATTGGACACTCGCCGAGCTGAGGAGGCCGTTGAGTGACATCGCACGTCAAGCCCTCGAGTGGAACCCGAAAGGGAAGCGGCGAGTGGGACGTCCAAGGGTGACATGGAGGAGATCGTGTGAGGAGGAGATGAAACAGTATGGAATAACATGGACGCAAGTGAAAAGAACAGCAGAAGACAGAAGCAAGTGGAGACGTGCAGTTGAAGCCCTATGTTCCACTAGGAACCCAAGGGAACAATAATAATAATATATAATAATAATAATTATTGTCAGTAATTTCACCCTTGAACTTACGTCTGGTTTACTTTCTGTAGTATTCATTTTGTGTCACGCCTCACTGATTATTTATGTATACATCATCAAATTATTTCATCTCATTTTTATCTCATGTTCTCACTGACCATGCCTATTCATAAACTAACTGACTATTAGATATAATAGAGAAGATTTGTAGCTCAGGTGGATGATTTTGGTGTGGTTGTGTTCTCTGAGCTGGATGGTTTGGTTGCGAAGCTTTCATTGCTGTACTGAGCAACATCTTCAGCGCATACTTCGATGTGAAGTGAGCTTTTAGAATTCTCTATGAGTTTATTAGTCATCTCTTCTAGTAACCCTGAACGTGATTGGTTGTTTTCGTGTGACATTTCACCCCCTAGTTTGCTTGTCTCGGTGCTGGCTGCTTCTTTGGTCTGAATGTCGTTAGTCATTCCTTCTGCTAACCTTGAACGTGATTGGTTGTTTTTGTATGACTTCTCACTTTCTAGTTCACTTGTTTTGGTGTTGACTGTTTCCTTGACCTGAAGTTTGACTTTGTTTTTGTGTGAATTTCTTCGTATGGATTGGTATATTTTGTCAATCTCTATGTGTCTATTGATTGCTGATTCGTTTGAATACCAGGCCTCTAGGAATTCTCTGGCATTTTTGCAGTTCCCTTTGTCTAAGTGAACTAGAAAGTGAGAAGTCACACAAAAACAACCAATCACGTTCAAGGTTAGCAGAAGGAATGACTAACGACATTCAGACCAAAGAAGCAGCCAGCACCGAGACAAGCAAACTAGGGGGTGAAATGTCACACGAAAACAACCAATCACGTTCAGGGTTACTAGAAGAGATGACTAATAAACTCATAGAGAATTCTAAAAGCTCACTTCACATCGAAGTATGCGCTGAAGATGTTGCTCAGTACAGCAATGAAAGCTTCGCAACCAAAACCATCCAGCTCAGAGAGCACAACCACACCAAAATAACTGACTATTGTTCCATCCTATCTAATACTCGTTCCACAATACATTTCTGATATGATTAAAATTTAGTTTTACAAGCTATTGCATGCTTAAATTAATGGATTTATAATTGCAGAGTTTGAAGATCTCTTCTCAAAGCCGTACAACTACTTAGAGTTTATATACAGCTGGAATATCTGTTACACCATTTGCTATGCTATGCGCGAAAACACCTTGAAGTTACTTTTATCTTTAGTCCGTTTTAACTGTTGTGAATGATCTGAGTTACCAGGGTTAATACACTGGGAGATATTCTCTTTATATATTCAGGCTGAAACTACCCAAACAATTAATTCAGAAGATTATTTATCAGAACTTGGATTTAAAAGAATAAAACAAAGATAAGTTATATTCAAAATAAAACACATGAATTAGGCTGATGAAAGAAAATTTTTCGTTTAGCGCGTGTGTGCTGTTGTAAAACTCCAGGAATCTCCTCCTGTCTCACTTAATTGATTCAAGTACACAAACCTTCTGATGTTACTCTTCCTGCATCTTTTGGTCTGAATAAAGCAAAAGAAGAAATGAAAAAATAATGCGTTCCATACGACAGTTCCAAGATATAATAAAATTTAGATACAAGTATGTATAACATGGAGTCAGGCCATAAAGTTTTCGCCTGTCGCTTACATCCACTTCAACAGGTGTAAGTTTCACAGCTAGGGTACTAGAGACGCAGAGAATCAATAGCTAGGGAATGTTGCTAATATAACACAAAATCGTTCACAATAGGGCTAATGCATTCATTTTTTTGTTACCATTCATATTCATTAAATACTCATTATTCTTCATGAGATTGTTTTTTTTTTCTATAAATCTAGGTTAATTTCATATTTATGGACCAACAGTCAGGTTCTGACTCCTGTAACTTCTCCTGAATAACATAAATGCTCCATAAATGTACTACTTTTCAGCAAGTATTTTAACGCTGAATTCTAGTAGCTAAAATGAGATTAAATCAATCAATCATTAAGTATCCCTGGGATTAAAAATCGTAATTATGAATAAGGTCGCTTTATGTACACCTATATTATTATAGTTGGTCCCTTAGTAACTAGGAAATGATAACATCTAGAAATCTAAGTAAATCGTAACATTTAAATACCAAGGTCGTTATCCGTTTATTCAATTCTGTCCCATATGCTGAAAACGTATTTCACAGTCGTTGATGCAGAAGTCAGAAGTAGTCGTTTATAATGCGAACCTGCTCAGTATTAGTTTAAAGAATGCTCTGATAACTTACTTATTACCCTGTTAAACACCCGTTCCATGAAAATCTCAACTTAAAAATAAGGCAGTGAAGAATCTAAATGCTTTGATCATTTTTTGAAAAACACTTATTGAAAAGTGATATTAATGGTACCATAAAGAGTTCAAACGATTTGACACAGGTTGTTGTAAAAAGGCATATCTTTTTGGTACAATTATTTATAGTAGCAGTAGTAGCTAAATTGTCTGGGCATTCATCTCTCAAACAGTAAGTTACACTTCATCACTAGAGTTCTTAAAAGTCAGATGGCATCACTAGAATCTCACCGACATGCATTCACTACCATCTACTTTATAAACAAGCATATTTTACTCGAATACTATCCTATTTTGATTTACTTTACCTCAAAGACTTGACCAAATATGGTCATTATGCTAATTTAGTACCAACTGTTCTAATTATTGGGACAGTAGTTCTCTTTGTCTATTTGTTACTAGACATAGGGTGATTCTTGAGTATCTTGATGAGAGCTACTGCATAGATTATTTCAGTTGGCTTAAGCACAGATTTTAGTACAGATCCAAAAACACTAAGTAGTTGTCTGATTTATAGCAACTATCCAGAAGTTCAAAGATTTCATGAATATTTATACTATGCGTCAGGATTCAAAGGCTTCAAATTCAAAAGCTTTTTTCGTACTGCCATAAAGTTATAAAAACTGACTTATGAAATTCAACCACTAACTAAGTTTTATTGTCAATGTGGAGACGTAGCCCATTAACTTAATCAGTTGGGCTTCAGTAAATAACTCCCGCGTTCAAATTCTGCACCACCCGCATCAGCCCGGGCAACTGGGTAGTGTTACCAGCCTTCACATTCATTAAAAGTGTGGCTAATAGTTCCATATATGAAAAGTCTTTTTCAAGTAGCTGAGATGAAACAACTAAGTTCCTTGTCATAGGGCTTCGTTGGTAGTTGCAGACATGCAGGTTGCGAATAGAACTTTTCCTGAATTGAAACACGTGTTAATGTATGGTGATATTATCTCAAATACCATAGAATTGGTGATGTTATAACTGGTGAGTGAAAGTAAGGTGAATGATTAGCTCCAGATGCACATTACTTAGCTGATGATTCGGACGTCACTGTTCCGAATTTCACAACCAGCTTAATTTCCTGTATTTGACAATTCCATCAGGTAATTATATAATCAGAGAACAAGTCTTCATATTGCTTTATTTTATAATATTCGAATACTCATTTAATCTTAAACAGAAAAACATAAACATTGAATAAAACTTTTGCTAATAACAACTTACATTCATCTATTTTCATACTAGATCTAATGAAATCAATCAGTAATTCTGACGAACTGATCAGACCTTCACGATCCTGAAACATTTTTTTGAAAATACAGTTGTTTATGAGAAAAAATAAATAAGCAACAAACACACAGAATGACGAGCATTAACAAAGTACGATTTAACATTCATAAAGGTTCATTTTGCCACATCTCAAAATTGCACATGAGATTAAGCTCAGTGTAAAATGTAAATAATAGTTAAATGTTATAAGAATAAGGAACAAAGGAGGAAGCAAGAAAAGATTCATTACTCCTGGTTCCTTGTTTTCCCGGTAGAACATAGGACTTCACTAACACTTCTTCATTACACTTGGTTTTCCATCATAGGTTTACACTGCCTCTTGGACGACTCACAGGCTTTCATCTCCTATTCATATGATATACTCCATATCACCCAGGAAGCTGGACTCATAGTTTGGTGGCCGTGTGACGTCACTTGAAGATGTCATCAGTGTATGTCCAATCTATTTCGATATCCTAGTGCATATTTGTTGGGTAATCGATTCTTGCCTCAGGATTCGCTTCTAAGGTTCCTTGTTGCCCATGCTGTCTGACCTGCCATTTGATCCTCAAAATCGAGTGTTTGCAATGCTTTTGATGACACAGGAGCCAGTTCTCTTAAAAATGTAGAAGCAGTGGTTTGAAATAAGCGTTTCTTGCGCTAAGTACTGTGGAGTAAAACAAAACTACTGCCCGTACTCCATGCTTTTCAGTTCTCCTCTGAATGAAGTTAGTTTATAATCTAACTCTAAATCAGTCTTTTGTCAGCTGAACAAGAAATTAAATTGTTTCGCTTTATACAACAGTTCATATAGAGTGAGGAATTAGTTTTCCTGTTACACATGTAAATTTTATTGAGATCTTAACTTCATTACTAATAATATGTAATGTAATGACAACAAAGGTTATATTTTTAAAAACAACAATAACAACGCGGAAACATTTTATCGCATTTACTAGGAAAAAACAATATAAACATACATTATCGTCATACAGGCTTCGCCAGTGCTGAACTATTCTTGTATAAGATTTGTACATTTTAGCTATATGTAACAGTTTTGTGAATTCTTCATCACCAAATTCCTTACGTCTTAATGATATAATGCTGATAAGATTAGTCTAAGAAAAAACAGGAGAATGAATTACGTAAACTAGTTGGATATTTAGTGAGCGTTTCATGATATATATATACATATATATATTTGTATATATATAAATATTTGTATATATATATATATATATATATATATATATTTAAGGGTTAACACAAGGCACAATCTTCCCGCACCTGATGTACAGTGGTTGCATAAATAAACAAATTTAGAAAATTCAGTGGTCTTCAAGTTACAAGTCCGATGCTATAGTGAATGTGCTACGATGCGCAGTTATTACCAAGGTCAGCTGTTAGATTTTCATCATGAACCAGTATCATTTAGAGAAGTAACTGAAAACCAGAAAACACAGGACAGCTGTTTCGTCTTATTTTGAGACTTCAGCAATTTGTATCCATGACTACCCCCCAAAGAATCGAACCTGGAACCTTCAGGTTATTGGTTTGTGACAAAAATTTAACAGTTAAAATAATCCAAAATCCCCACAAATCCTGCAATATGAGTATCAGCCGCCAACTCACCAATCGCTACTGGATGGATTTCCTCCTCCAAATATGCTTTAATATTTAGTGTCAGTGTTATACTACAGGCTTGAAATTACAAAATAAGGTAATATAAAGAAACACAATGAGTAGCAGTCAAACCATCAGTGTATCGAAACAGAGGAAACATAGTTATGGATAGGTGGGGAAAAAATTAACTCTATTGATACTTAATTTCATTCATCAGCCATAGTTAAAGTATATCAACAGCATATTTATTGCGCTAAAATCAGAATATAAGAATGTCGGAACTCCATTGGAACTCAAGTATTTGGAACAAATTTCCTATTCATCAGGTGACGAGTCACACGTATTGTGTGTATGAGGGCCAGTGATGCCACCAAGTTGCCCGAGTTTAAGTACATCGAACCTGAAGCCAATTTTGCCTGAAAATTAACTATTCAAGTCAATGAACCATATTCCCACAACATGGACAATTCCTTCATATGTAAAAATTTGTTTGTAAATGAGATAAAATTCGCTTCTGAAGTGAGAAGGTGACCTTAATAAATTATTAGAATTGTTAAGTGTAAAATGAAACGCTAGTTTAGATATTAATATCATTAAAAATAATTGCACATTATAGATAAGATTTTATTTTGATAAATCACACAGTGTTATACAGTAATATCAACTGATGACGTTTCGACCAAAAACTATTGCTCATAATCGTATCAAGTTACTCACACAACTTTTTAACTTCATTTATATACATGAGTGGAATTGATTCCACTCTACCACAGTGCCCCAAGTTTTATCCTTAGTTCAGTTTTATTGATGACAAGTTATAAAATCAAAAGTTTAAAGAATATATTGCAGATTTTTAATAAAGATGTGAAACTAGGGACAGAAACATCGTCATTCAATAATTATTTTAAAGAATTCATAGTGAAAAAATAATAATGACCTCTGGAAAAGATTCAAAATACCAGTGACAGTAGAAACCAGTGTAACGGAATAACTGTGTGGAAAATCTCTCTTGAACGATATGTTTAGAACATTGATACTTATTTGGATACTTCAACTGACTTTCCAATTATTATCCTCTTTTCTCCTAGGGCATATCCAAATGTCGTACTAAATGCAGATCTCCTTCTGAGTTAATCTTTCGTTTGTGTGTGATCCCTAATTTAATTGCTTCCCTATGCAGCCATGTGTTGGTGTTGATAATGTGCTGTCTGTGATTGTGATCAAGGTTAAACGTGGGGATTTTGACCTTGGACTATCTGTGGGAAGTGTTTGCTGTATCGGTATCTGGCCGATAGAGCTTTGATCCCTCCTTATTGAGAATATTCTACTTGATTCTCAAGTACTTCTTACAGTTGAATTTTTGTTAGTCAGTTTTATTGAGTAGAACTTGTTTTGTATCAGAGAAACTTGTGGATCTGTATGGCTGCCTAACATCCCTGTTGAGATCAATTTGAGTTTTGATATTTCATTATTGTTAAATAGTACCGCAGATGTCATCACAAGTAACTGTCTTTTTGCTGTCTTAGGAACATTTTCGAAGTGTGCGTCACTGAATGAAGTTCTGATTAACTATACAGTACGACGTAAAGATTGGTTTCCTGAGTTCAGACCACAAACTTGAAGGTCTGTGAAGTCGATGAAGTGAATAACAAGCAAAGTCTTTTGAGATAAAACAGACAAATTGAAGCAGTCTGTAGCTGTCAGCCAGATCACCAAATAACCGAACATATTCAGTCATCTAGAAAAGTCACAATTACTGCTATGATTGCACTGATATACAATTACATAAGAGAAATGGATAAGACAACAATCCTACTAAATATTGTACTTTTAGATCAATCACAAAATGTTTATTCACACATGCGATGGAGGAATTATTCAAAGCCAACACCGGAAATACGGATAATACTATTAACACTAAAATCTAATTATGAGAAACAGACAAATTATATGTGTGTGAGCTAAAACGCTAAGCATGATTTTAGTGTAATTATAAGCAAAAAACATGCTCAATATATCATAATCTATTATTATTGTGAGATGAAACAAAAACTACGTGAATAGTAATGCTGAGAATATCAGCATAATTCTTGGGAAAGAAAGATCCCAACTATAACTTATGACTCAATGTTACTTGTTTGATGGTGACTCGTAAGTTGACATTTAGAGCAGTAGGTACTGACCTAGATTTTGATTTTGTTCTCTTATCTGAGTTGGTTGGCTTAATTACGAAGATTTCGTTGTCCTCATAGACAACATCTTCAGCTCAAAATTCAATACGAAATGAATTTTTCTGAATTCTCTATGAATGATATAATTTTACCTCCTAACAACCACTGTTGTGATTGATTGTCAGTTTACACTAATCATTTTCATTGACTTGGAATCTGAAATTTATTGTCATGTGGTTTCTTTCTTTGTTAGTAAATTCGATCTGCAGTAATGTGGCTGTTAATTGCTGATTCATCTGAGTACCCAATTTCTGGAAATCCCCTGACATTTTTGGCTTTTCCTGTGTTTAAAATTTCTCCCAATCAAATTGGTGACCATGATTGTCTACAAGCATTAATATGAGAGAATACATATCGTGTCTTTTCACAGTCAATTTATTTTCTTGTGTTCTCATTCAAAGGGGACATCCACTTTAACCACTGTATTGTTTGTCGCAGCTTACACAACTGATTTTGCAGATGGTATTGATTTATCTTATCTTCTCAGTTGGAACACCATCACTCACTGGGGAGCAAGTACGTGCAGTTGAGGAATCCAAAGTGGGGTGAGACGCGTATCATTCGTTCTGCTGATAGCCACCTCCCAAATGAGTAATGTTAGTTCATTAACTCTGGTAGCATCCAGTCCTCTATTCAAGAGTAATCAATTCTATCATATATGTATCGACGCGAAATCGCAAAGTTCAATAAGAAAAACGTCAATTATTTACTTACTGGTAGTGATTTCACTGATGTGGGATTATTGATTGATGTCATTGGTAGAATATAATTATTTTGATAATGGTGATGGTAATCTTGACAATATAGATGATGAGTGATTTCGGTGTCATACCTCAGCGCTAAAAGATTTGACAGATCACATAGCAAAACAAGTTTATATACTGTCCAGCATGATATATGCAATACAATTAACCAGAAAGCCATTAATGCCATTAAATAATTGTACGTAACATTTGATTTATCTGAAAGGAATATGAAGTATAACAGAAATAATGAACACAATCGAAATAAATATGGCGCTGGTTAATATTTCCTTTTCTCAACATCATCCCTTTTCTCAAATAACGTCAATGGGTCTGCTATAACCATATTTTCACCGTAAATTTATACTGCTTAATAATTTAAAGTAGTATGTTTGTATTTCCTAACAATAGCTCACCATCACCAAAAAGTTACATCTCGAATCAAATTCATAATTTACAAATTACACATTTTAAGGTAAAACTTCACTATACTTTTGTCCGGAAACCGAAATTACTCAGATCGCAATATATAATTAGTTTGATGTGATAAGTGGCAATCAAGAGATAAGGCATAGTTACATAATGCTTTACACTACTAGTTGATCGATGTATGTCGGATACCACTCGGATGAACAAGTAGTGTTCCCTAGCCAGATCAAAGTGACCTAATCACCGGATAGTTCTCATAATTTAACTCTGCACAGGGAGCCGTGTCTCTCGAAACCATACGAATTCTGGCTAGCGAACTGGTAGTCCTCTACAGTCTGAGCTCACCTAAACATTATTTGTTCTAACCTCATTCTCCTTGCTCTGCAGACTAACGTGACTGTTTTATTTCTGACCGTAGATTTATGCTGTCATTGCTTCTTGTGTGGCAGTGATTTGAGTGGCAATTAGCTCAAATTATCCACGACTTGAGTGTTGTAATTTGTAAAAATCTTGCGCTCTGGATTTTGGGATAACTGAGACGTTTGGTTTATTCAGTTACAACTTCATTTCGTGATTGCCATTATTTAGCTGATGGTAGCTATCAGTGGAATCTGGTGTGGGGTACACTTCTAGCCACCAATGGACCAAATAAACTTCTGACATCATCGAAGCATCTGCACTTGGAGCCGACACGTCAAGAGAGATGAAGCATTTCTGTCCAATAAAAATGCAATTTAGCGAAAATATTCATTTAGATATCTATTAAACACAAAATAATTGAGCAAAGAATATCCTTTTCGATAATTTCCTCTTCTGGCTCTACAATTATATATATATATATATATACAGAATATTCTAGATTAGTAATCAATAACAATATTAGTGTTTTTTAAATAATGCCGATTTGTAAAGTAAGATCGATGGAATTGCAGTTCATTAAAGATGCTTAAATTAGGACTCTCGCCGACCATGCACATGGTCCGGGGTTCGACCCCCTGCCGGCGCACACCCGATATCTATGGTCGGCCTGAATTTGGGCTACCAATATCCATGCTGAAAATTCCACATTTGTACTGAAAATACGGTGTGGAATCAAGCTGTAAATCAAAATAAAAATAAAATAAATAATAATAATAAAGATATGGTAGCAAATAGAATATCAACTAAAATTAGAAACATTCCATGGAAATTGAGGGTCATTCAAGCCTAGATGGTCAAGGTAAGGATAATGTCTGAACTAACTTCTTTTAAACGCACAAATTAGGCTTCTTAATATGGATCCCAATAGCCTCAGTAATATTTAGTAATCGAACTCTTAAGGCGAAATTGAGATATGTTGGTAGGCGGTAAATGAATCTGAAAACCTGGTTAACATTAATCTAGTGTTCTGTATCCACAAGATGAGATAGAATAGCTCTACGAATAGATTTTGCTTCTCCTTTACCTAACCACACAGGGTAATGCAATTAATAAGAAATAGAAAATAAGTTAAACAAATTCTAAACAGCATTCTGGATTTCTCAGAAAAAACTAGTTATTTTAAAAAATAAATGAGCACATGAGTTAACTGATGTATGGATGTATAAGAAATAAACACTGGAAAATTAAGAAACATTCAACAACTGTTACCTTGTTGCAGATTTTGTGTCCACATTATATACATACAAAAAGCTGCAAAGTCGCTGCTTTGTGAACGTAGCTGCTTGACGCAACCCAGAACCACTCTAAGAGCACTTCTAAAGCTTGTACACGTTTTATTACGGTCACAGTTCAGTAACTCCATAATATCGCTCACTAAATCACACAAAGGAGTAAAGAAACTGGCCTCCGATAGATCAATATGTATTCAATCTCGACTGTCTGACTTCCTCCAAAGATCCCGAAATGAATTCGCCGAGAAAAGCATACCAATTTACCTAAATATCAGCAACACCCTTTTTGTCAGGAATGATGATACCATCCAGTTTCCTAGGCTGGGGGATCCGAACCTCAGGCATACTGGATGAAGTTCGAGTTCTTAAGCCAATGAGCCACCTCTCCACTCACTTAATCAAAACTTTAATTATGTGAGATGTGTCTATAAAAAGCAGAAGTGAAGAACTAAACATCATCGAGAAAAATGATGTAAATGAAAAGCCAAGTATTTGGGATCAACGACAGCACAATTACCACACCTTCTGCATATGCACAAAACCGTTATTTAAAACACCACTTTATTTGAAGGGCTTGAATCACTCACATACACACAAAGAAACAAATAAAGCATCCTGAAACGTTTTATTTAAACGTAAATATAAAGAATGGGTTATATTATTGAATTTTTCTTATTTATATGCATATAAACGGCATGTTGTCATGTCTGTTTATTGCAGCAAATTCAGGGTTTTCTGTCTTTGAAATTTCACCTGTAAAATGTTTGAACAGAATTAATTTTTATTAAAAATGTGAAATATTTTGTCTAGAGAAACTGTGAACTGCTTAGATGGCATTTTCTCCGGGAATGACTACAGTACCCTTTGCAAGCAAGAGTTTATGTTTCAGCTGAACTGATTGGAAATGACGCTACTATAAGAAGAAAAGAATATCTGCAGGGTGATATTTTCTGCTAAAATGGTCCATTTTTTGAAAAACCTTTTTTTCTTTTTGACATAGTTTCATTTTATGAAGACTTCATTTGTTCCATCGGTTACTAAAATCCTGTAACCAATCAAATCACTGCAGGCCATCACTGAGAATTTTCGAGGTTATATGAAGGGAAGCACTGGTCACTTTCAGTTTGCTACTCATATGACTGTTGATACAACCCAGTAGACTGCAAGCAGCATGAACCCAATACAATAACAAAACTACTGTAAACGCCAACCACAACGTCAGCAATAATACAATCTACACCCAAAAAGAGATGTACATTTAAGGCAAGAGTGGATTCACTTTCTCAAACCACAGTCAGCACTTGAAAACACTGTTGCATACGATGGTTCTGAATGACAGTAAAAGACAATCTGACTTTCACAAAGAGTTGGAAATACAAAAGACACCGTAGATGCTCAGTAACTAAAAAGTACTATTGTTTTAAGGTTATATTCTAGTAAATGTAAGAAGAAAATTAGACTAAATTAGGGACATAAAATGCTCATTCTTCAAAACTTACTATAAATTTCAATATTCAGCATAGTTCGTGTTTTCCTTCCATCAGTAAATGTAAATACACATTCAATGAAGGCATGACCAGATTTTGGATATGTTGAAAAGCCTATTGGCGGTTTAATCACTGGATGATTGTGGGAATTATCAACAGAAATTAACTTCTCAGAATTTTTCTGTGGTATACACTTTAAATGTCCTCTTGAATATAATGTTTCAGTTGAATCACCAGGTAGAATACATGTTATTGTTTTTTGATCACCGACTCGTAACTCAACATTTGGATGTAAGATAATGTATAATTCTTAAATTACAAAAAATAAACTACTTTTAAAATAAGCAGGACATTAGGAAGTATAACCTATAATGGCAGGCGAAATGATGGAGTAACTCTCAAAATACCACATCAATTCCAATTTGAGATAATCATAATAATAATAGTACTAATAGTAAGCAAAGTTGTACGTAGACTTAGGGCCAAGTTAAAGTATATCGATCCAGGAAGAGAACGTACCAATGGCCCTGAACTAATACTATTCATCGCCATTATTATATCGCCACTATCGACACTATTCACAAACTGAGGTGAAAATTACATCAAGATTTCGTTTTTAAGAATTGTTCAGATGATGGATTAACACCACATAGGTGTAAATGTTTTGTGGTGCTTCCATATATATCCAGCGGTATTCAGAAGCAGCTGATGGACAAGTATTGGGGTGTACACAGTGCAGGAAACAAATTAGCTTTCGAAATCGTAAGTTACACATTGGGTCCATTACTTTCTAGGAACTTTCTTTTCTAAATCGAAGCTGTCACTGACAAATATACTTTCTATCCTCTATTATTGGGTGCTGAAAACTGGGTTGATATCAACCACTGTATAGACACAGAAGTCGTTAGTATCTGCCGTTCAATGGTGTCACTATAGTGTACCATCATGGAAGATGAATACAGTCACACAGCTATTAGGGGGAGTAGGTGTTACTGTTCATATTAATGAAACCGTCCTCATACAAAAGAAATGTAATCACTGTCGCCCCAGGGCGAATGGTGTTTGGATTTTGAGAATTTAAGATACTAAAATTCAGAAATAATTTGTGGAAGAACTTCTAAATGGTAATGCGGACACTCTTCTACCTGTCACACAAAAGCTAGTCATCCCTGATAGTACTATTCATTCGAACGATAGGACCATATAAAATTGGTTATCAGATTTGGGTTTCATCCGTCATCAAGCCAGTCATCCAGAAAATTTTGTCAACGTCCTCACTGGAAACCACACTGATTCAGCCGTCACGTCAGGGAAAATATCCTATTTAATGTGTTTTATCATTATCCTCTGTATTTCTTTTGTAAATAAATGTCTTTTTATGCAAAAACACAGGTTTTTGTGCTTGATCGCCTCAAAATCAGTCATGCGTCGGCATTCCTTGGACTGCTGTCCTTTGACTTTGCAGAATTATTAGTCAGAGTTACCCTCTGTCAAATGAAGGGATATCTGATACTCCATATGAGATAAGTTTATTTTAAATACCACACAAAGATGCAGTATTTGAAATAAACTTGCCTAATATGGAATTACATTCTACCACAATGCCCAAATTCTACACTTATATTAACGATATCTGACAATCTCAGCTACAAAAATGAATATGCTAGGTGGTTAGAGGCCATCGGCAGAGAGCCGTGAATCAAGGTGTAGTGGATGTTAGCAATCATCAGAATACCGTATCTCAAACCTCAAAAGAGATTATGACCACGCTGACATTCAAACCTTTTCACGGGAATGACTTCATATATGAGTGTAATGATCAGTCGTGATCACTGAGAGGGTAAATCACCCAGCTTGGTGATCCTATTTCAAACTTAACCTTTCCCTAACCTAATACTATATCAGTCGACACTGCCTAATGAGGAATGTGATGACTGTGGATGTGTAACACATGTCCTGGCTATCTCAAGAGATGTAGCTTCACAACCTAATTAATAGACTACCCCTCCTTTCTTTTGGTCAATACAAACACTAAGGACTTGATTTATTAAACTGACTAAGCCCTAATAATCAGTCAGTATGAAAGAATTTATTCGAAAAAGTAAACTGATTGCTTATTTCCATTAAATGAAGTACAAATATATTCGTTTATTAACATTTATAGGTAGGTTACATTAATATAATTACACTGGTATATAGCAAAGAAAAATATCACAGTCGTAGACAGATAGAACAATTTCATCCATCTGGTGGAAACTAATTCCATATTACTGAAAGTAAAATGAAAATCTGGGTTATGACAAGATTCGGACCAGGATCCTGTGAACTACTAGTCTCGCGTCCTACTAGACGACCTAAAAGGCCCAGCTGCCAGCCGGGTCATCATTTCACTGCAATAAAAACGAGTAGCTCCCAGTTGGACAGCAGGTGGATGTTACAGCCTAATTGATAGGTAGCTAGACCAGTAACTCAGAAGTCGCGTATCCAGCCAAAAATTAGAATTTCACCTCACTACATCGATAGCAGTTTGCCAAACCAAGACCACTTCACAAAGTTACACCATTTGACATAACGCCTAGTGATCGAGTACTAACTACTGGATGACATTTCAAGCACAGTTTATCCATCAGAATCATAGCAATAAGTAAAAACAAAATGAAGTCAGAAGAACACCTTTTGGTGTTCTTATCTAAAAAAAAGCATAAACGGACCTTTCACTTTCATAGATTTCGTAAAGGTGAAAATTTTTTTACCACCAATTCTATGCTTTGAATAATTGCATTCTATTTCAATATCAAAAGGTTTAGAGTAGAAATTAGCTTTCTCTGATGGTTTAATAAAAACACTTCCATTTTGTGATTCAAAGTTCACATAGTTTTTTGATCCTCTTACTACACGAGCTGTCCAGTAACCATTCAACTTAGACTCCATATTTCTAGGTAATAAACCACACATTAAATTTGGTCTAGAACCAACATAAATTTGAACATCTTCAGTGCTCTGTCCATCTAGTGTTCCCAGCATACTGTCTAAGATAAAAGTAAAAAGTCAGAATAAACAGACAAATCAAAATTTGAGTATATTCATGGTTATTTATGACAAGAAAGTATTTTATAAATTCAAAACAAAGGTTATCAGGAGATACTGTTGCATTGTTCATGGAGAATTCAAATAAATTCACTTTATATCAAAACTTGTGCTGAAGATGTTGTCTAGAAAGAAAATGAAAGTTACGTAACCAAATTATGCGGCTAAGTGAACGCAACCACATCAAAGTATTAGCTTTTTTAAGTTTTATTTCAAGTCTGAGTTTCAACATAGAACTTTGCACAAGAGCACAACAGTTCCAGTTATAACACTTCATAAAACCGCACAAATGTAGATGGAGAAAAAAACACAAATGAAGGGGAAAACGAATAATTACATAGAGAACACTAAGAATTGAATGGATAAATGAGTTCATAAAGAGTGAATGCATCTACATCTTTGAGGATGAATTTGAGCCATGTCACCAATAGTTTTAAATCATTGGATCTTAGAGTCTCAGAAACCACAGCCTGAAAGGCAGTCCACACCTCTCTAAGTGGCACATACAAACAATCAAAGACTTCATAGACTGATATTAGGTTTTGATTCGACCATCCCTAATTCCTTTCGGACCTAATCCTACATCAGCTGACAATGCTGGATGAGGAAGGCTATGAGTTTAAATGTTTAACACGTGTCCTAGCCATCTCAGTCAATGTGGTCACACAAACTAATCTACTGACTCTCTCTCTCTTTCCTTGCACCATAACTTCATTATTGCTCACCAAATTATATCATCTAACGCAGGAGAAAAAACGCCACCAAAACATTTCTAAACAGTAAACAATAATTAAACTGTAACCAAGGAAGTGAAGAATAATAAGTTTACGCTATATGTTGAGTAATGCGAAAAACTGTTTAGAAAACTTTGGGTTTTCATGGAAACAGCATAGGTATAAGTGGATGGAGTGAAAGAAAGAATAACTGACAGAATGATGTCAACAGTTATACTACCAAAAAAATACAGAAAAGTAATAGTAATGAACTACTGATAACAACTGGGCTTGAAATCAAATAAATGAAAATAATCTAGCCACATAATGATGCATATCAGTCGTTACTGGAGGCTTTATGCAACAGATTGTTCATTCTATTGTAAAAGATTTTGATACTACCTAATTTTGATGTAGACTTCGTCAGGAAGCAATATCAGTTATATGACCTCTGAAATACAATGAATACCGGTCAGCTGTTTCTCTTTAGTTCCAAACCTTTTACCAGTGCGTAGCCATAACTTTTAGGTTACGAGAATGACGCGTTGACCACCTAAAAACAGGGTTGAAACTCAATGACCCATGGATTATAACTTGCATTAATTTGTGATATAACGCTACCACCAACTGTCGTCAATGCTCAGCCATTTCACTATGATATAGTGGGTCCCATCAACTACAACTTCTCATTACAGCTTAAGAACATCCATTCTGTAGCCACCAATGAGCTGGAAATTAGTATTCAGAATTTCGGGCCTTGTCGAGATTTGAATTAATTTCAATGCGTCTTTGTTTTCTGTGACTCTCTAAGTAGTGTTGACTAGCAACAAAATCTACGCTAAAATTAGTTCAAAACTCTACAAAACGGAAAATCTGAGAACTACCCGATTGCTTTAATCTCAACAGATGAAGAAGAATTTCAACCTGTGATCCTTGACTTCCCACTACCAGTAACTGTTTGTTTGAAAAACAGATATAAACTGCAAATGCAAAACAAATATAACTAATATTATAAAAAATATTTTATTTCGTGTTTCGAACCAAAACATTTGGAAATTTTCGTCTTACCTAATATCTCGAATGCTTTCTTAAATTTTAAAATCACTTCATTATTTGTATTTCTCTTGAGTATGCACTGGATTTGAAGATAACCTTTCATTGTATAATTCAACGAATTTTCTGGTGGTCCGATAACAGCTTGTCTGTAACATTTCTGTATAGATATTAATGTAGATTGACCTCTGACAACTTCAGCCTCCCAATAACCCATTAATTCTATTTTAAAATGGTGTGGTAAAAGACCACATTTGAATTTTTCACTTGAGCCAACACCCACGACGACATCAGAAGTGTCTTTCCCATTTAATGTACCATCCCAATCACCATCTAAAAATCTTAATATCTTAGAAGTAATACAATGTAACATAATATTAATAAGAAGATTACAATACCTATTCATAATGAGTCCCAATCCCACTCATCGTATGATGAGTTTACTTAAGTTTAGTGATCATACCACATTCATACCAAAAGAAATTTGATTATCAGACCGGGTGTTCACTTCACCCTGGATAACAAGTACCTCTACTGTTCTACGTCAGCTGTCTCTTACTACTGATTGGTGCCAGTAGTGTGTAACATCAAACAAAAACCATCTTCGTAGTGAAAAAAACGTCTTCCCATGGACTACTAGAATAAGGTGCTCTGATTGTTACAATATAATGAGCATCATTTACCCAATGCACAAGTGAATCTTGTGGCCTAGATGGCCTGGATTGTGAGGCGATGGGTGCTCGGTTGGGGTATCAGAAGGAACACCACTGCTCGCTAAAGACTGTGGGCACATTAAGCTGACGAGTCTTATACAGGGAGAAGTACTCATCCTGGATTCACTGATAGTTTCCACCCAACAAACAACGTCATGTTAACCCTCAGACATTGTCGATGAGTTCGTACTAGCAGCCTATTTGTCAGTAGAGACCGAAGATTTCAGTCCAATGTAATCAACTAGTGGCAAGTATAAAATTAATTTTTTAAAAGTGCCACTTCCTTTCATGCAGAACAAAACTGCTTTTTATCTCAAGGATGTTGCATTACTGCGCAGTAGTGTCAAGCCATTTTTAAATAGTTTTAATATTTTTAATCGATAATTTCAGTAGAGAAATTTCGTACTTATTAAATGAAAAGATGATGAGTTACTAACAATTGCTTTAATCATCAAGACCTACTCTTTATCTTGCTTTGAAGTAGGATGCATTAATCAAGCTACCTTGGACTAGTGATCTTAGTGGCCTGTTACTTAAACAAAGACTGAACGCCATCACCATGTCTTTATAATCGTGAATCACTTGATCAGAAACATAACTTATTTGAGTTCTTGGAGCTTTAAGGAACCCTTTAAAGTTTAAAATGTGCAATTCTGGGTTTAAACACTGAATACTTACCTACAATGTATAAAGTCTTAGTGAATATAAATTCTGCATAACGATAATCCCGTGAAAAAGAACACTGAATTTGAACTTGGCCGATATATACATAGGCTTCCTCACATCTTTTTGGTGTAATATATACATTACCATTATTATAAATTAATGAGACAATATCCTTCTTATCACCAACAATCTCTGCCTTCCAAAATCCACCGTCTTCTTTGGGAATCATACCACATTTAAATGTTTCACTTGAACCAACACTTACAATTACATCAAGATCATCAACACCGTTAAGTGTTCCCAGTCTTCCTGTGTCTAAAACATGTCCAATGAGAAAATGTGCTGATTACATGCGAAAAAAATGCATACATAATATACTGACATTAACTAAACTACTAAACAGTTTGATGAAGGAATGTAAGGAATGTAGACTCCCTTTGGTTGTGAACACTTCAAACCTATCAATGAATTAAGTGCATGTAAAATTCCTTGAAAACCTATATATTCAGCATCACTGTCGAGTATCTGGTCTGTTGCTAGTAAAAATGAAAACCCTCTTATCAGCGGTCGATCTTCCATTATTGTTTTCATGTGTCCGTCGGACTGTTGTTGTGGTTGTGGTGACTAACACTGTGACTGGCGAATACAGCAGTTTCTCATTAGGTTCATATTGACTACAATCTACTAGGTCATATTACCAAGCATATCACATTTCTGTGTTTAGCTCAAATGTCTGAAGCAATAAATTAGAATGAAGATAGAAAACTGAAATATGAGAACACCAATAGTTGGCATTAACAGTGATATACCTTTTCTTCTGACAGCTCAAAATATTGTACCGTCTGTTTGTTTACGGTAGAACTGAATAGGTCCTGGTTGAAGTGACTGAAGACAAAAGTGTAATGAAGTGGTTTGCTCTACCCAACTCAACAACAATCACTACCATTTACACGCTGTCAGAATTTATTGTGACTAGATTTTTTAACTCTGGAATTATTGGTATAAGAAACCACCGTCATTTTTTTTCTTCAAATACACTTGATTATTTTTGCACAATTTCAGCGGTAAATTGTTCACAAGCGCAATCACCAGACACCTGACTCACGCATTACAAACAGTTGAAATCAGTCAGCCACTGAAAACAATCAACAACACGTTACTTCGTTTTGCTTGAGCCACTGCTGTCAAACGATTTCACTCCGACCAATTCACACAGAAAGCTTGTGCAGTTAGAATTGCAACACCCTGGTAACTGGACATGTTTTCGTTGAGTAACATTTCATTTTCATCATCTCAAGTGTGAGAAATATGGTAGTAAAAAGGCAGTTAAACAAAAATCAAAAGTTACCTGTAAAAGCACATTTCTTCTTGCAAACTACAAAAATGAGAGTGGTTGGATCTAAGGCGCTGGCTGGTAATATCAAGTAGTTTGAACAAAACAAAAACGAACACACTAATAGAATAAAAGGAGTTCATTCTAATCTATGGTTTTTCTTCAGCTGCTAGGAGCTCAGACATCACATAATTTATTTCAAGTTAACCTCACCCAGTTTACTAATCGGTCATAAGCCTGATAAAGTGAGAAGGGTGGTCCTGGATCTAGGAACCACAACCCGTGAAAATGACCACATTACTATTGGAACTTCAAAGAACAGAAGAAATAAACTTATTGTCTGATGGAATCATGGAGGTTGGCTGATACTAGGTATTGGAAGGTTATAAGAAGACAGTCGACCAGTGTGTCTTTAGATAGATGCAGAAGTAGGTATAGGGACATGAAATGTCCGCATATGGTCTGAAGCTGGGAAGGTTACCAGATTGCAGGAGAAATGAAAAGATATAAATTTGAAGTGCTAAAAATCTGTGAGAGCAGATGGAAAGGAAACGGACTGTCCAAATTGTTAACTGGAGAATCAATAATCTACTCTGGTCACCTAGACGACAGTCACCAACAAACTGACGATATTGCTATCATGGTGTCACCAACAGTATTCAATGCCCTCATGCAGTGGATGCCTATCTCTTTCAGTATCATGAAAGCAAGATTCAACTGATAAGGGGGGAAAGCTGAAACTGTACATTAGCACTCACCTATAAATAATGTAGAACAGCAGAAGAAGGAAGACTTCTACAGCCATCTGCAAATAGTAATGGACAAGATCGCAAACCAATGGCTATATCAAAATTCTTATGGGTGATATGAATGACAGCCAAACTGCGAGCAAGTAACAAAGGAAGAGAACTCACGATGGGTCGAGTGGTTCTCAGTGAAATGAATGAGGAATGAAAAATTCCTGTAGACTTTTGTGCATTTGATGGTTCAGCGAAAGGAGGCAGTGTGAACAAGCATAATGATGTACATAAGACGACGTGTGTTTTACCAGACAGATACGCCAAAAATCAGCCAGATTTCATCTTAGCCTCATGAAAATGGAGATGCATCCTGCTAGAAACAAAATGGAGAAGGGGTGAAGATTTAGGGTCAGACCCGTATCTCGTGCAAGGAACCTTTAAAGTCATATCGAAAGCCTTCAAAGACACTGAAGATAGACCTCAATTCAAGTCCAACACAAAGAAACGGAAGTGCAAAGCTGCAGAGGACAGCCTCACAGAAGTCATCAGGGAAGTGTTGGATACATCAGGCTACATCATCGGGTGAACCTATGTGGGATAACAGTGGAACTCTCTGAAACCAACAAAGAAAGAAACCTTTATAGATATCTCCGGCAAAAAGAAAACGCAAAACGAGGAGTGGTTGACTGTGGACACGTGGAATCTGATGGAAGACAGGATGGTGAAGCAGAAGATGAACCATAATAGAAATGAATAACCAAAAGAGAAGCCCAATATAATTCACAGAGTGGTGAACAAAGTAGGGAAAAGTGCTAGGAAATACCAAAAGTTAGAAATGACAGAATTCAGAAGTCATGCTTGATCGAATTCTGTTCCACAAAGTCAGAATGGTCAGCGAGTTCACCTCATAACCTGAATGCCTTGAGATAACGGTGGGAATTGTTGAACATCCCCAAATTGGGGTAAAGTAACTGTCCAGTACTCCTTGATTTCTAATGCTTATCTTAGTAATGCCAATTTGTGATCGATTTTGAAATATTATTATTCACCTATTTATTTATCTATTCAACATGAAAAATAACAACAACTGAAATACAAATCAGAAAAGTATCTACCGTAAATTATCAGTTTTGTTATCCCACCCCTTATGAATTCACCAGTATTCTCATTTATTTGTTGCGTTTGAAATATCACTTCACCTGATTTATCATACTTGCCATAAGGTGAAATAATGATACAATGTAATTCATAACTATAAGACAGTAGATCACTGTCATTATTAAAAGTTACATTCCACTTGAGATTTCCTCCTTTTTTCAATGGAAATGAAAGTATTTTATTACTATATAATGGAATATAATTAGCCTCCAAATATATCACATCAATAGGCTGTTGAGCTGTAAACGAAAAAACAGAAATTGACACACTAACTATTCCTCAACTTATATATCCGAAATTCATTTAAAATAATGGGAAACACTGTAGGTAGCTGTTATGGATGAAACAGGAGATGTTAAATTTACGATAGAGTATGAACATGACAATATGCTTCACATTATCGTCTTTGAGATCCACCGTGACACAGACAGTAAAATTGTAAGGTTCATTCACAGAAACAAGAGGCTTGAAGGGTACTTTAAAACCTTCTACCTCACAAAATAGGAAAAGGTATTGGCTAGAATACCGTCCAATCATGTAAGGAAGCTAGACTCAGAGATAGAGGTTGAAGAAGTGTTATCTGTTGCGGTGAAATGCCTATTTGAATTCTGTCACTTTTCTCAAGAACATACGTGTGATTATGCTATAAATAGTTAGTACTTTTAACTCTCAATATTGGAACTACTTACAATGTTCCGCACTAACGTTACTGTAAGCAGTTGAAAAACACTGGCGCAACGATAAAAATTAACTCATATAATACCGCTTCATATTTTGTTCTTACTTCGTTTAAGGTTATTCACGGTAACATTGTAAGGCCTTAGATTTCACTTAAATGGATTTTGCTCCAAAAGTTTCATTCGAAAATGATTTATACTAATAATAAGCTACACTATATCTACAGGAAATCTGATTGAAAAAGAAACTCACCAGGTCTTAATATTAAAACTGAATATGTTTAGCCGTTATCACGTCACGTCATTGACTGACTGCCACTCTAGTCTTTCTAACCAGTATCGAAGCTAGCGAAAATTTAAGAGGTATGCGGGCCTCTATAACAGGAGTTGGAGCCTCAAGATGACATTTCTCTTTTGAAATCGACCTCCACTATTTCACAACGCACGCAACTGCAATTGTGAAGTGACTGCATCACAGAAAGTAATCCTACCAGTACAGAGGTAATCAGATACTCAGAATCACTAGACAGTCTCTCACAGGGAATATACCCAGATGCTGCATATCCAACTATTGGTAGCCGGCGTAACATCATGACGGTGAGGTGGATTCGCACATGCTGTTTAGCTTCAACAGTCGATGGGAAATCTCATATGACAGGGAACAACTATGTAGATAAATTAAATTCTCGACTGTTTCTAATAACTCAGATGAAAGGAGAGGTATTTCATGGGTTTCATAAACTCTGCAAAACGTAATTTGAACTTTAACGGTTCAAACAGTATACTGCACATTCACTGATCACTAACTGGCTAGATACTATTTGGGTAGGCTGTATGTCATTTCACAATGAAAAACTGTTTCTTGAATACTCAAGTTGGAACAGCTGTCCTCTGAGCAGTAAATTCATACTATTCATACCCACATCCTTCACAGCTACCTTCAAAATGTGATTGAAGTTCCGAACTATACTCTTATGGAATATTGATGATTAGTGGTCGTATTCTGTGTCTTCATGCGACGTGTTTGTGTATATGACTTTTAAGAAATTGAAAAGCCCATCGGAGACACCCTTCTTTTTCAGAAAAGTTATGACACCAGTTCTGTTTAAAAACCCTCACTGACAAAAATAATTTTAAACGTCGACCTGAGATACTTCTGCTGTTATTCGAACCATGGATGTATTAGGGATAGAGTAAAATCCCTGTAAAAACATTTGGCTGAAACATCTCATTGGCAACGGTATAAGAGGATATACAAATTTCCAGAATTCTGAAGGAGTCCTACAAAATGTAGAGCTTCATCCACTACTGCTACTGACAGATAGCATTGTTCTTATCTAATTCCATTGCTCAATGCTTAAAATGGTAGTCGTAGCTTTATCAGTCTGTTTTTGTCAAGTAACTTTCTTTATAAAGACATTTCAATGTCAGTTTTAGATGAAAACGCAATTGTACCCTATCAAAAGTACAGTGATAAAGTTTCATTTTTCATCCGTATGAGGGGGGTTAGGCAGTCAAGTTCAATCTCACTGAAAGTAGGTCAGATACAAGCTTCTACTTATCCTCAAGGTATATCATATTTCTGGGAGAATATGCCTAGCTAAAATCCCTAGTTTCAATTTATATAGAAAAATGAATGACTTTAAGATAATGTTCAGTGAGTCTTGATTCAGTGAGAGACTAGTAATACTATCATCCTGGTATCTGGCGGTAAATTAGCATATAACTCTGAGTACGAACTGTGGACGAATACCAAACTACTGATTCGAATTATTCCAAAGCTCAGCACAATTCCTTTAAAATCTAGATTTCTAAGTGGAAAAAAATCAAATACCTACAGAGATTCTACTAAGCAGAGAAAACCCACATTTATTAAGTATGCTCCAGAAACTTATGAGTAGGTGGCCAAGACCTAACAATGGAGTTCTGTTATGTTATGAGTAAATATATGCATATAAGTACCGAAAAGACCCTCAAGTGGCACCATAAGCCACGCCTTCTTGTGGAACGCGATTTGAAAGTAACGAGCTGGTCGTCCGACTTTGACATGGAGGAGATCATGTAAAGGGAAAGCTTTTGCGTAGTCGTGGGTCCAGCTAAAGAAACGGCAGCAGAAAATAGAATGCACTGGTGACATGTTACTGAAGCCCTATGTTCCAGTCGGAATCCAAGGAAAGAATAATAATAAATATAAAGTTAGGCAGAGGAAATGTTCATTATAAGCATTTCTTACTCATATATATTATTGTTCCGGTATAGGAAAAAATATATGGATGATCCCTAAAGTCTCGAAGAAAACATTCAATTAGTGCAGCTCCAACATTTTTCACTTGAAATGTAACACCATTAAGACTTTTATTCAAATACAAAACATCAGCTGATTGCCAGATTATTCGACCTTCTAAGTATTTGTTGAAAGTTCCGTCTAAATGAGGTGATAAAAGGCCACAGTGAACTGTATTTGTATGTGACTTATTCATTATTGATAACCATAGTTCAGGTTGATCATTTAAAGAGCCTTGTATATCACATACTGTAAACAAAAATTAAAGAGATTGTAGTACACGCTGAATAAACCCGAATACGACAAACAAAAATACACAAAGAATGAATAAAATTATTCCTTACTTCCACGTCGAAATTCAAAGTCAGAATACTATTAACCAATTCCATTTTACCAGTAAATAAGACTACGTGGCCAGAGTAACATTATTTTCATGATTCTTTTTCATCTTATTTTCTGGTGTTTCAGTGTATTACTATTTTATGATAATAATTACCATTTATTAATAACAGCCTTCCTTTTAAAATAAGGACAGGACTAAGTCAAGGCTGTCTGCTATCATAGATAATATTCCTGACTGTGGTGGACTAGATCAGTCAACAGACTGTGGGAAGTAAGAAGACAGGAATAAGCTGAACCGATAAGAAGACTGTAGAATATCTGGACCTTGGGAATGATTTACGTCAAATGCCACACAAGCCTGAAGATCTACATTCGAAGGAGAATACGTCAACAGAGGAGGCTGACAGAGAATTCAGGACTTCTAGTGAACATATAGAAGATAGGGGTAAAAAATATAACCAGCCATTTGCATTCACCAATAACTGTCATCAAAAGAAATATGATGGAAGTTGCCTCTTTCAATTTCCTAATCAGTGTCATTTCACCTACATTTAGCATAGATGAGAATGTTAAAGATAGGATCTGAAGGGCAAGACAAACTTTCATTAATCTGAAACTAATGCGGAAGTCTACCGCACTCAGCATGAGGAACAAGATTCAGTGTCAGGACAATTCTTCTATGTGGTTCAGAGACTTGTAGTACGCGTCAAAAGTATTTTCACAGGCCAATGCAGACTTTCAATAACAGCTACTCTCCTCGATCGATGGCCGTCAAGATTTAGCAATAGGGAACTCTGGCAGTGAATCAACCAGGAACCTTCAACCCAATAGATTTTCAGGAAGTGGACAGTGAGTGAAGAGTGTTGAGTGACGTCATGCGTCAGGCCCTCGAATGGGAAATGAGAAGTTGAACGTTGGCCCAGGGGAGACTTGGATGATATCATGTGAAGAGAAAATGAAAGTTTTTGGGTAGTCATGAGGCCAGCCAGAAAAGAAGTCAGAGGGCAGGGTGAAACGCAGATATAATACTGGAACTTGTGTTTTACTAGGAACCCAGGAGACTAATAAAATAGTTAATAACATCACATTTCTCGCTGAGATTTTACGAGAATACTTTACCACTTTTCCACCCTCTATTGTTCATTCCATATATTTCGCTTGTTAAGGTTATTTTTTCAAACTCAGTGGGTAATATCAACTTCCATTTCTTAATCTCTGACAAGTCAACAGAAACGAAACATTGCTTTCCAATATAATGAATCAACGGGAAATATAAAATCAGCCTAAACAAATATGTCTAAAATTATTGTTTGATAAATTCATTTCATTTAAAAACCGCTACAAATATGAGATTCTCTAGTGAAGCACAAAGAATGTGTTAAAAAAATTACAGGCCCTTCTAAACGTCAACTAATCACTCTTATCACCCAAATTAAAACATAAAAAATCAGGCAAAAATATCAAAAGGATCACGGAACTTACAATCTACATTCAGCTTCTTTCTGAATTCAAAGTATTTCTCGTGACTGTTACGATCATGGAAAACGCATTCAACTTCAGCTACTCCAGGAATGTCAAAGAGGTTCCTGCCTACTGGTGGTAAGATAACAGCTTCGTCATTTTCTAAGCGTATGGATAGTATGTCATTTGAACCTTCAACTGTCTGAGCATACCAGTAGCCATGTATGTCTGAAATAGCTTCGTAAGGTAATAAACCACACTTTAGAGGTTTTCGGGAACCAAATGGTACTTTCATTTCAAATGCACTATTGTCATCAATAGTGCCTTGAATTTCACATCCTTGATTGAATTAGAAAAAAATAGCATAATCTGACTTACACTAAAAACTCTGATCCTCAGCAAATAAGAAAGAATATGGAAACCTCGTTTGTAAAATTGATGTTTTTCATAAAAACCAAACATTTGGACAAGTCTCAGAATTTCAAGAAAAATTTCAGATTTTCATCTAAGAATTTCAAGGTGGAGACTGTCCCTCTATCTATTTACACCACTTTTTATGTCTACCCCCATAATTTGATATTTTTTTCATTTCTTCTTCTAGTACTAGTTATTATTACATTAATTTCTTGCATTTCTAAAATTAGGCATGGCCACAGCAGAATATCTCTATTGCACTCAGTTTCCTCCCATCACCTTTCAGTTGGCTTAAAGACTACTTGCAACATTTCATCACTACCTGACGTGACCTCCATATCACTCTCGGACAACCATCTCTTCACTTCACAATCGCATTCTACTTGACTCCCTGGTGTATGAAGTCTCCTCAGGGTGCATGTCTAATCCATCTCAATTTCCTACATATTGTTGGGTCATAGATGCTTATCTGATTCCCTATCAGGGTCTACTGGTACCTATCCTTTCCGGCCAGCTATATGGTTTTTAAGTATCGAGTGAAGACAACTGCGGTTGAAAGTCTGAAGCCTTTGGTGACTCACCACTTTCCTGAACCATTTACAGACAGAACAAGATTTGTTCTTCAAATTGCATTAACCCAGTGGTTTTGAAGTATACTGAGGGTATTTATACCCCAATGCATTGCAATAACAAAAAATCAGTTATGAAAGACAGAATTTGAGAATATAAGAATCTACAAAATAAATAATATCTCCTAGACATCAAGATTTTTACATATCCTATTTTTTATTTTATTATCGCTTGACTCCACACAGCATTTTTGATACAAGTATGGAATTTTCAGCATGTGATATCGGCAGCCCAAATTTAGCAAGCCGATCATTGATATCATGATATTTTCTGCAGGTGTGCGTGGGCCGGCTGAAAACAGAAATTAGCTTCCAGCCTATTTTTTGCAGAGAACTATTTAATTCAAACCACTTTTTACTCTTCACCTCTCATTAAGACATCTTATTCACTAGAAATGAATCAGTCAATTACCTTTTCCGAAAAGAAAATGGTTGGAAAGAAGCAGACTGGTGATGATTCTGATAACTTTGAATGTCATAGCATGTCCAAACAGAGATTACATAAAGATCTTTTCGTGTAGATTCAGAAAAGTGAATCTTTATGTTCAAGTTAATGAAATCATCACAGAACAAAATAAATCAGTGATATCATGTGGTGAATTTTGAAACAACGCTTGCCAGAAGCCACGATAACACCAAAATCCAATATTCAATTGCCACTTCATGGGACTGAATGGCTGGACTTATATATCATGTACTGTTAAAATTTCGCTTGGAAATTCTTTTGTCAATCATTTTTAATAAAATTGTGTTATATGTTATCTGGATTGATGGGAATTCTCATTTTCTGGCTAGTTATGTTGGTGTCCGCGTCATGTGATCTGACTGCAACACCCTCGAGCATATTGGTTGCAACGATCATTGTTTCAGGCAAACTGTGGCAAAATATCGCTATAATGAAATATATAAGATAGTTGGAGAGTAATGTCACCTACACAAATAGTCTACTTTGTTTAGAAGCTGCACCTTTCGGCATGGTATCATTAAATGAAGACTTCACGTCTCAGGATATTAGTTCAGCCTATTTTCGTGTGAAGAACAGTCCTTTTCGACAAAAGAATTCTCTCAGTTCTTGGAAATCACCTGTAAATGCTAACAAAACCTTCTGTGGGAATAGAAGTAATCATGTAGATGTGTCTCACCGTATGTGTGTTTGGACAGGAATTATCGTAAGTTGAGAGGTTATTTCTAAGTGTATTTTATGTATATTTGCACTGTTTGGTGTAGCGGAATATGGGTTATGTGGACTCAATGTATAAAATATATCTCGACTGTGTTAATACTGTGCCATCGTCTGCTTGGCTAACAAAAGTAGGTGGTTGTCATGATTATTGCAAGTGCAGTACAGTGGAGGAGGCAATACTGGTCTTCCTATGTCTTAGCGATTTCTAAAGGAATATTTCGCCTCACTTTTCACTTTGAGAAGTTAAGGCACTCAGGGATGACTCAAACTCTCCTCTTACAGTTTGTCAGTTCGTCCATCTTACCTATTCTTTCTTACTATTCAACCTTAATCTTTCCTGGATAGCTTGAAAAATACTATGTCATACTTCGTAGAACTCTGAAGACTGTCAGTAGGGCGAGTGGTCTCCCTTTGAGCCATATGGTTTCAATCGTCATTGACGATGGTCACTTGACTGTGGCAGACTGTGAGCATCCACTTTACTTACCCTCAGCTTTCACCTTGCGTCTCCTCACGTAAAACAAGAAGTCGTTTCAAGAGACTAAGCGTGCACGTCTTAGTATAAAACATCGACGATACCGAATTTGGAACTTATTTTATACGATGAAAATAGTGTCAGGGACAAACAAACTTACCTTAATTGAACCAGTGAATAAACTGTTCTCTCCATCCTCATCTTTTTATTACAGCTTGATTCCACACCGTTTTTTTTGGTACAGGTATGCGATTTTCTGCATGTGATATTGGTAGCCCAAATTTTGCAAGCCAACCATAGATATCATCTAGCTTCCTTTTTATTATTCTTATAAATATAATGCTTTCTGGAGTATTTTCGACTTAATACCCTAACCATAGACAAATCCCAGTGTTTAGTTTATATTTCAAGTAATCCAGATGCAATGTTGTGACAAATACTGAGAACTTCACTCTGTATTATAAGTACTATTTCCCGAATTTATGTAGATGATTATTGTTAGACTTTATTGACGTCACTTTATCCTGCTTGACCTGTTCTTCTTGCTGCAATCATGATAGTATCGTGTTTCGCCGAACTCATCACACCTCATGTCAGCCATAAGTGTATACCACATGCAGGTATAGTGTTTATGAGCTAGGTATGCAAATCAAAGTAAACGCTTGCACCGTACATTCATTATTTATAAGACTAACTAGTTTATAAGAACTACGATTTCACCAGTTATACAACGTTCAATATATTTAGACACAATCAACCTACGCTGCTTACTTCTATCAAGCGTTACCTAAAGCTACGTAGCTACCTTGAAACAGTTTCTGCTGAAGGTAATCTCCTGTAGCTACTACTTTAGCGAGCAACTCAACGTTATCTTTGAATCACAAGGTAAAAGCGGACATCCTCAGAACTTTCTGGGTAAAATGATCGTCTCCTAGTCAAAAAAGTAAATATATCCCAATCTCCACGAAAGCGTTTAGTGGTATTTATCCTTTCATCTCAAATGACTCACTATTTGCAGTCACTTTAAAAATGAAAATAAATTTACCGAAGACAGTGTGCTTATGATTTCTAGATATCATAATGCACCATGAAGAGAAAGCTATATCCATGGGGTTATAACGCGCGAAATTAATCCAAAACACAACGACTACCATTCTCATTCACAGAACATTCTACTTTGCTGTCTAATCGTCTAATCGTATCAACAGATTTTTCGCCAAGAAAAAGAAGACGACTGGTTCAAGGAAAATTTATTTTAAGTTTTCTTAATAACAATGTACATCCGTATTTATAGTCACGGAGAAATCGCAACTTCGAGAAAACCACCGATTGTAGACCACAACCTGAAACGTTATTCTTGTCAATTAAAGTCTCACCTTTAACTGGGAGTGTTCGGACACTCACCAGATCACCATAAGTTATCCGCTTTGTAAATCGTATTGCAGCATACTGAGTGGCTGTTAACACTGGTTTTACTACCGACATGCGTTTGGATCTAGTAAATTAGGCATTGCCAACCACTGGTGGCAAAGTACAAGAATAGCGTCCCAGGAGTGCGAACGCTCAAATGACCTTTAACGCTTGTCAGTCGTTGGTTGAGGAAGCATACTATTATTCTAGAGCGAAAATGAACGCTGTTCATCTGCTCAGATGCAAATTTCATCCAGATCTCGTTTTACAGTACTGCTTAGATAACGGATTGATAGGACATACTCGGATATGTAGTTGTGGTGCTTCCATGAACCTCCAGCCGTATACACAGGTCATTGACGGATTTGTATTCAGATGTACACAGTGCAGGAAGCGAATAAGTGTGCGCACTGGTAAGTGACACTCAGTTAATTGTCCTCTAGGAACATTCTTTGAAAAGTCGAAACTGTCGTTGACCAATATCCTGTTTCTGTCCCATTACTGGGTTTTAAAGTCTGGGGTGCGATCAACTGCGGCTCAAACAGATAATACGTTGACGTCTACTGTGCAGTGGTTCCAGCTTTCTTGAGATTTAGCGTCTTGGAAAATGAATAGTATTACTCAGGTGCTGGGAGGAGTCGGTGTAGTCGTCCATATCGATGAAATGGTTCTTATAAAGAAGAAGTACAATCGCAGACGAGCTAGAGCTAACAACGTTTGGGTTCTGGGAATTTACGACACCAAGATTCGCACAGGATTCATCAAACTGATTCCAGATAAAGGTGCTGATACACTCCTCCCTATTATTCAGAGGCTCGTTTTACCAGGCACCACCATTCACAAGGATGAATGGGCAGGATATAACCGATTATCGCAATAAATAATAGTATATTTCGTATAAACGCATAAGTTTACATGAAATGCGCGATCAATTATGTTACAAATTACAATTGTGAATTAGCATATATGATCACTTTTTAAAAAGTCCGAATTGTTCAATTATACTACAAGCAATCGGAACACATTCTTATAAATGTTAATTTGTAAATCTCTCACGAAGTTCACCATCGAAGTTGAGCGACAACCCAAAATTCGTTCCATTTCCTAATGAAAGTTATGACCAATCGATAAACAACCTACATTTGAGTGAGTACTGTGACCCCACGTGCTTGAACGCTATTTCAGAAAGAGGAGAAAATCCTGCACAGCTACAAAGTGGTAAAAAATGCAATCATGAATAATACATTATTGGAAGTATATTTACAAGAAAAATACAAGAATAAGCTATACAGTACTAAATATGATAATACACATTTGCAATGTATGATGCTAACCATTTTGGTCTTACCATGGAAAACTATGACGTTTGGGATATTTACATCATCGAGTGAACCATTAAGATGACTTCGTCGACCCCTGAACCGGTACTCATACCAATTCAACCGAAGGTTTCTGGGGAAGACTGAAAAATGGAATCAGAGCTATCAACGGGTCTCAAAACCAAGTTATTTTCAGTCATCTGGATGAATATATGTATAGAAATTGGTTTAATTTAAAAACTGAAACCCCTCATTATAACTGGCAGATTTTTTATCTCAGACAAAAATACCCTGTTCAATGTTTTTTAATGCTTTTTAGGTAAATATACGTAAAATTTTATGCAAAAATCCTCATTTTTCCTGATTGGTCGGCTCAGGGTCTATCGTGCGTTCGCAACCCTTGAGACTTTATTTAAGAACTTCGCCTCATTGGTAACACTTACCCTCCAGACGTTTCTGAATGCCTCCATATTTCTTTGTTTCCAAAAGTGCATACAAACATCACACATTCATACTTCACATGTGGCTCACCTTTGTGTGATCTAGATTCTCTCACAATAAATCTGATTTTTTAGCTGACAACTTACAAATTTTCGAAAAACTTCAAAGCTTTCTCAACTTCAAACCCGATTCTAAATTCTCAAGTTTTAGTGGGCTCTTCGGAAATTTTGCTAATATCAACTCTGATCGTATTTTCCTCACCAGATTAACTCGTAGGTCACTGCATGCTGTAAACATGAATGTGAAAGACATAAGTTTTCCATATATCTACATGTTAAGCAAGCAACTGGGTTAGCAACAATAACGGCAACCAACGAATGAACTGGAAACAATGGCTTCTGCCACCCAAACATGTTCATGAGCATAATTTCCAAAACTTCTACACAGTACTAATTCATTAATAGCTGAAAAACAACTAAAACCCTTAAACTATACATGAAAATAAAACGTATGAAACTGTAGTGTACATTGTACCTTTGAACTTTTGTTTGAATGGACGCAACCTGACATTTTTAACCACACTTCCGCTTTGTACTCCTGCTCCTCCTGTACGGTTACTGTCTCGCTCTCTCGCTGTACTTTCACCTAGTA